ACTCAAAAAAAAAAAAAAAAAAAAATCGTATCATACCAAAAGAGGTCAAGAAGAAAATAATCAACTTACCACTCAGAAAGAATTACTACTGATACTTGGGTGCATATCTTTTTATATATGTATATATCTAAAATCTGGAAAATTATACTACTTGCAGAATGGTGAATTCTGATTTGTTTTACTTAACATCATTTTGTGATTAATCCATGCAATTAAGTTACTTGGGAATATTTTAACAATTTCATATAACTGTGCCACTATTTACCATTCTCTCATTTTTTGGATATTGACATTGTTTCCAGTTATTTATAATTCTAAAGAAGACCAGAGTAAACATCTTTATGTTAATTTTTATATACATTTATAAGTATGGCCTTAGTATTTATTCTGAGAAGTAAAATTATAGGAAAAAAGAGTATTAAGTATATAAGGCTTTTGATACATCAACAAATTGTTTTCTACATTAATAGATTATCTCATGATACTTGACAACATTTAGAAAACATCATTTGAAAAGTGGAAGAGTCAATATAATTATTTCCTCAAGTGCTTATGAGCTACTCAGTATATTCATCTTAAAGTGGAAAAAATATTTATCTCCTTAGGATAGAATATATCTACTTCTCTATTTGTTGTTAACACAACCAAGAATTTGTACCAGCTCTCTTCTCTGAGCTGTAAATGTTTGGTATAGTACACTTCACTTTCACTAATGGCCTTCCTCTGCCTTTCCAAGTGATATCAACTGCTAACATGCTCTCCCTTGGCCTTATCAGTGACAGGGGTCTTCGGAAAGAACAAGCCCATTAGTGCTAAGTCATGGTGTGGGAGGGATAGGTCTCTTCAGCAAGCAATTGATTGCCTGCATCCAACATTGCCTAGGAGTTTTGGAGATCTAATTAAGATCTGTTTCCTTGCTCTGTCACAGCCCTTATAAAGACTGCCAGGCCATCATGAAGGTTCTTTTACTGAAAGATCCTAAGGAAGATGACTGTGGCCAGGACCCATATGTCAGGGTAAGTGGCCCGAAACTCCTTGTCCATAGAGCACTTAGCATGCTCGCTGATGGCATCAAAGGGCTGAAGCTGGCTGGGGAGGGGTCTGTGGAAACTCCGATGACTGACAGAGAATCGGTTACTAATGTGATACCATGACCCTTACCTTATTTTCTACACAACCCTGGCCAATCCAGACCTGTATTCTTTTATTTGCAGGAATTAGGATTATATGGACTTGAAGCCACTTTGATCCCTGTTTTATCATTTGAGTTTTTGTCTCTTCCTAGTTTCTCTGAGAAGGTAAGGCCTGTTGTGTCTGAGCCCGTGTTAGTATTTTGTTTCTGCAGAATTCTTGCCAGCCCAAGCCCAAAGGACTATATTACTGCCCTTCATTTTACTCCCACTTTAAAACAAGACCAGAACCACCTCACTTGGACCAGCTTGGGCCTCTCTGGGCTGCTGTTGGGATTCTCTGGCTGAGCCTCTTCCAGCTCCTCCAGAAAGGCACCCAGAGTCAGAGATTGGAGCCCGAGAGAAAAAGTAATGCTGAGAGCACCAAACCGGCATTGCTTGCAGCAGTCTTAGAACCCTTTCATTTATCTTCTCATTTAATCTACCCTCAACCCCCGCCCCTGCAGAGCAGGCCAGGCGAGTATTATTTTCTAGATTCGGTCCCAGGTTAGGCAGCTCAGCCAAGGCCTCCAGCAACTAAGAGACAGGACTAAGACTCAAACTCAGGACTTCTGCCCGCCACTTCAATATTGCTTCCAGTGTAGGTATGACAGAAATTGCAGTAAAACCTTCCAAATGCTTCAGATTAAAGATTCAGAAGCCGGGCTCGGTGGCTCAGCCTGTAATCCCGCGCTTTGGGAGACCGAGGTGAGTGGATTGCCTGAGCCCGCAGGTTCGAGACCTGCCTGGGCAACTTGATGAGACCTCATCTCTACAACAAATAAAAAAATCAGCTGGGCATGGTAACATGCGCCTGTAATTCCGACCACTCGGAAGGCTGAGGCGGAAGGATCACCAGAGCCCAGCAGGTCAAGGCTGCGGTGGCCGGGAGCAGCCACTGCACTCCAGTCTGGGCGACAGACTGAGACTCCGACTCAAATAAATAAATAACATAAATAAATAAATAAAGATTCAGTGCCTACAGCTTCAGTGATATAGGAGCTACACAACAGCCTAGTGCCTAGCTCAGAGTAAATGCTTAGTAGATGGTATCACCAGTATTATCTTTGAAGATCAGGGATTCAGCATGGATATCACCTCCTGAATAAGTTTTATCTCGGATGAGGGTTGAGTCTGCCTTCCTGCCGGCCCCCTCCCCAATCTCAGGCTGAGCCAGGCTTTCTCTCTCTGCTGCAGTGACACTTACTCCCCTGTATTGCACGTGGCTGTCTCCTAGACTGTGTGCTTGAGGGAAATGTTATGAATAATAAAATTACCGGTGTATCCTGCAAGGCCTAGAATAAATAGTTCCCGGCACATAGTAAGCACTCAATTAGTGTTGAGTGGAAGGAATTAGTTTGCCTACTACTTTTGTGAAGCATTTGGAACTCCTTGGGTGATGTTGAACTTAGCTGTCACATGAAATGCCCTTGTTGCTTTTTGGTGGGCAGCTGTCTCATCCTGAGAGTTACGGAGGACTCATTTTTACCAGCCCCAGAGCGGTGGAAGCAACAGAGCTGTGTTTGGAGAAAGACAATAAAACAGAAGGTGAGGGTGAGTCTTGCCGTGGATTCCACTGGACTTTTATTTACTCTTATTTCTCCTACTAGGAAACTAGATTCCAGAAACAGTGCATATCTGACAGAAGTAGGTACTTACTGGTGTCAGATCACAGATACTTCCTTGGGAAACAGGAGACAGGGCAGCCTCCTTAACTCCTAGACAGGTGTCGCCAAGGGGGAGTCTCTTTTAAATGTCGACCTGCTAGGCACTCATATCTCCCCTTATCAGGCCCAGTTTCTTCCTCTGAAAATAGGATGTGTGTCTCTTTCTTCCAAGAGATGATGAAAAAATGCAACAGTGTATGAGAAAAGGGTCAGTGCCATGCCAAGCACTTGGTGACACAGTCATCTTTTTGACCCTTCTTCCCATCTCCTTCCCTCTCTGTCAAAACAGTGTAGAAATGGTGCTGTCGCCGGGCTCGGTGGCTCAGCCTGTCATCCCGCGTCTTTGGGAGGCTGAGGTGAGTGGATGGCTTGAGCCCGCGGGTTCGAGACCCACCTGGGCAGCGAGACCTCATCTCTAAATAAATCAAAAAATCAGCCGGGCGTGGTAGTGCCTGCCTGTAATTCCGGCTACTCGGAAGGCTGAGGCGGAAGGATCGCCGGAGCCCAGCAGGTCGAGGCTGCGGTGGCCGGGAGCGGCCACTGCACTCCAGTCTGGGCAAAGGAGTGAGACTCCAACTCAAAAAAAAGAAAAAAGAAATGGTGCTGTCCATGAAGAGAAGCCCAGGCTTCAGACTGAATATCACCTTGTGAATATATGCAGTTGAATGGCTTCCTGGCTACCCTTTAGGGAGTGCTTGTTGTATGTTAGGCCCTGTGTTAAATACTTCCTGTTCATCATCTCATTCAACGCTAGGTAATAATCCAGAGGCATAGGGCTCCATGATATCATTTTACCCTTGAGAAAACTGAGGCTGGGAAGGGAACGCATTTGTCCAAGGCCTCAGACCTAGGCAGTCCAGAGCCGGGCTTCAGACTCGGGCCAGAGCCTCCGTCGTGACACTAATGAACAGAAGCCCCAGGGAGAGTGGTTATCGAAAGGCGCTGGAGTGAGTGAGTCCTGGGTTCAAACAGCCATTCTGACTTTAATGAGCTCCTTGACCTCTCTGAGCCTCAGTCTCCTTATATTTAAAGTGGACATAGTAACACCTGCATTGTGGTATTATTACTTTTGGTAGCTAGATAGAACTTAATGAATGCCTACTCTGTACCAGATACTGTCCTGAATACTTTCTCCTGTGAGCTAGATACTGTCAGTCTTTTCACCTGGCAGATGAGGAGCCCGAAGAACAGAGGGTACAGGACCATGCAAGACTCTTCTACAGTCTGTAAGGCACAGATTCAGGATTCAGGCTGCAGTCTGAGTCCCCAAGGGAGGCCTCCAGGTGGTTGCTTGGAGCAGAGCAGTGAGTAGTAAAGGCTTTGAGTAGGCGATGGTACAAGAATGATGGTTGTCTCTTCACATTTAACCAGGCTTCATCATAGCCTAAACACATCACCTTCTTGGTAATCTCATACACACGCTCACCTCCTGTTGAAAACAAAATTGGATGCTTTTTTAGGGATAAGGACCCTAAGGAACTCAGACTGGGAGTGTTGTTTCCCAAGTGGAGAGGCATGTGTACTCTTTCCTGGAGTGCTGCAGGGTACTTTGCCTTGCAGTGTGCTTTTCCTTGTGTATGTGCTTACAGGAGGAAGATAACGAAAAAGCCCAGAAGGGCCACTATAACTTTTTATAGTGCCTTTTCATTTAAAAAGCACATTCTAACCTGGCACGGTGGCTCAGGCTTATAATCCCAGCACTTTGGGAGGCTGAGGTGAGAGGATTGCCTGAGCTCATGGATTCAAGACCAGCCTGGGAAACTCGATGAGCCCTCATCTCTACAATAAATTAAAAAATTAGCCGGGCATGGTGACGCGTGCCTATAGTTCCAGCTACTTGGAAGGCTGAGGCGGAAGGATCGCCTGAGCCCAGTAGGTCGAGGCTGCAGTGACTGTCTACATGCCACTGCACTCTAGCCTGGGCAACAAAGTGAGACTCCAACTAAAAAAATAAAATAAAAAGAAAGAAAGAAAGAAAAAGCACATTCTAATATATTTTCTAATTTGATTCTCATGACAACCATATGAAATAGACAGTAGGAGCATGGTTAATCCCAGCTACCTAGAAGAAGAAACAGGTGAGGTGGGTTAACTGTCTCGCCCTGGACACATAATGAGCTAAGGGCAGAGGCCCTCTGCAGCCAGGCTTCCAGACTCCACCAGCCCCCACTCCAGTTGTTCTGTCGCGAGGCTTGGAAAATGGTATGGTCACATGTTGTGGATAAGTTTTAAATACATTTTATTTATATGTGTAGGGGAGGAAAGAAAGTGAAGCTCAATCTTTGGGTACTTGTTTAAAAGTGAATTTTCCTTAGGAGTATAAAGGGTGGAGTAATATATTGAATTTAAGGGAAAGTTATGCTTATAATCAGATTTTAGGAAAGAAGAACTATTGTTTCCTTGTTTCTAAAGTATTGAATACCCAGTAGTCTTAGATGTATTTATAGAATCCATTTTCTTTTTTTATTTCTTTCATCCATATTTGAAGATTTTGGGGGTCATAAAATAGTATTTTGTATTAAACTATGTTAATGTACCTGACATTTATTACTTTTATATTTTTATTATTATTTTTTGACCTAATGAATAAATGAGCCATATCATCTGAGATTACAGTTTGTTAACTGCTTTCAGATTTGTGTCCCAAATAAAACCAATTATATTTCTTTATTTGACATGTTTTTTTAATGACCAGTGACTTTTTCTTTAAAAGTCTACATTTTTAGACTTTAATTTTACTATGCAAATTAACTCAAGTTATGTTTGTTTTCTAGTACACTTTAAAATTTTTTCTTGGCTTGGGCATGGTGACGCATGCCTATAATCCCAGTGCTTTGGGGTGCTGGGGTGAAGAGGGTTAGGCTGCAATCAGATGGCCGGTTTGGAATTTGCAACTCACATATGATTTCATGTTTTTACAGTCTGGGAAAAATCTCTGAAAGAAAAATGGAATGCTAAGTCAGTGTATGTGGTTGGAAATACCACTGCTTCTCTAGGTAAGGAGTCAAGCTAAAAATAAAACACCAAAAATGACTTAACCTTTTTTTGTTTTTTTGACACTTTAGTTCAGTTTTAAAATACTGGTTTTTGCTTATTAAATTTGCAAACATTAGTTAAATATGTAATACTACTGATAAAATACAATGAAACAGTATGTTCAGGCATTTCCAAATGACATTAAAAATTGGTTTGTATCTTTTAAGAAATACATGGTCAGTATATATTCAATACCTTTATTGAAATGTTTATATCTTCCAGACCTGGTAGCTCACGCCTATAATCCCAGTACTTTGGAGGCTGAGGCGGGAAGTTCATTCGAGCCCAGGAGTTCGAGACCAGCCTGGGCAATATAGCGAGACCTCACCTCTACAAAAAAAAAAATTGTTTTTTAATGAGCTGGGTGTGTTGGTACACTCCTAGTCCCAGCTGCTCAGGAGGCTGAGGTGGAAAACTGCCTGCCTGAGCCTAGGAGGTTGAGGCTGCAGTGAACTGTTATTATGCCACTACACTCCAGCCTGGGTGACATGAGACCCTGACTTAAAAAAAAAGATTGTATCCTTTGGCCACTAATCTCATTGTGAATATAATTAATGCCACTAAATTACTCATTTAAGAAATGATTAAAATGAGCCGGGCTCGGTGGCTCAGCCTGTAATCCCACAGCTTTGGGAGGCTGAGGTGAGCGGATTGCCTGAGCCCGCAGGTTCGAGACCCGCCTGGACAGGCGAGACCTCATCTCTACAATAAAATCAAAAAATCAGCCGGGCATGGTAGCGCGCGCCTGTAATTCCGGCTACTCGGAAGGCTGAGGCGGAAGGATTGCCGGAGCCCAGCAGGTCGAGGCTGGGGTGGCTGGAAGCGGCCACTGCACTCCAGTCTGGGCGACAGAGTGAGACTCCAACTCAAAAAAAAAAAAAGAAGCCCTGGAAGCCGGGCTCGGTGACTCAACCTGTAATCCCGTGCTTTGGGAGGCTGAGGTGAGTGGATTGCCTGAGCTCGCGGATTCAAGACCCGCCTGGGCAGGCGAGACCTCATCTCTACAATAAAATCAAAAAATTAGCTGGGCATGGTAGTGCGCGCCTGTAATTCTGGCTACTCGGAAGGCTGAGGCGGAAGGATTGCCGGAGCCCAGCAGGTCGAGGCTGCAGTGGCCGGGAGTGGCCACTGCACTCTAGTCGGGGTGACAGAGTGAGACTCCAACTCAAAAAAAAAAAAAAAGAAATGATTAGACTGATAGTTTTTACTATAATTTTTTAAATGCCTAAATCTCTAGATAGTGATATTAAAGTTGGTTTTCCCAGTTTTTAAAATGTTTTCTACATTTTTCTAAATATGCTTGAATTTATATATTATTTTTAAAGTATAAAATGTGGATAGTGAATCATTAAAAATTAACATTAAGCATTTTATGGTTTTTTGGGGTTTTTTTTAGTTGTAGTCTCATTCTGTTGCTCAGGCTAGAGTACAGTGGCATGCTCGTGGCCACTGCAGCCTCAACCTGCTGGACTCGGGTGATTCTTGCCTTAGCCTTCCAAGTAGCTGGAATTACAGGCACGCACCACCACACCTGGCTAATTTTTTTATCTATTATAGAGATGAGGTCTCACCAAGTTACTCAGGCTGGTCACATTTTAAATACTGTATTTAAAACAATGCTTAGCAATTGTGAATAAATTAACCTGTAACTTTGTTCCAGAACAGTTCAGTTTGTTCAGATAAATTTTAAAATATCGTGGGAGGGTGTAATATAAGTGAAAGTAAGTTTAAGAACTAACAGCACATTTTCCAGAGAACAAAATGAGGCTGAGAAAGAAAGCAGTGGGTGTTGCTGGCTAATGAAAAGATGATGCTTGTATCTTCTGAGCAGCATAACTTTTGTCAGAATCTCAGCAGTTCAGCCAGGGAGAGTGAATCAGCGGCTTGGTTGCCAAAGGAACCACCTCTACTCCTATGCATCTCCCCCTAAAAATAAGTTAAGAATTTTCTTGTACTTTGTTTTGATATTAATTTTTTTCTAAATGAAAAGAAGAAAGAAAATAGGCAATTTCTGACTAATACACCAAAAATTCAACTATCACGTGTACGTAAATTTTCCTAACCTTCACACTTGAGCTGATAAGCAAACATTTGAGCCATCAGTTTGCTAGCTCTTCAGTTTGATCCTAGCAGCATCACTATGGATTTTGCTGTTACTATTCTATCAAATGAGAAGAAAACTAGAAAAAAGACAGCAGTGGTACAGTGATGAGAGCTTTTGTCTTGGGACTTAGAGTAGCTGAGAGTGAACCACATCAAATGCAACACAAGCAGGCAGTGCAGAGCTTTGGTCTCAGTTGGGCATGCAGTGACCTCAGGCTGGTCCCTGTTCGTTCAGTTGTGAAGAAGCAGGGCATGTTCTAAATGCCGGGACCATATTGTCAAAGGAGAGATGAAGTTAGGGATTTTGCAACTTTAAAAAATCTCTTTGAAAGGAAATGATATTCTTTCTTAACATGAAAGTCAGTAGCCCAACTTTGAACATTCTGTTTTAGTTCGCCTTTTCAGACATGGTGCACCAAGGCGCTCTCTTTAGTGGGTACCGGGAGGCGGTGTGGCTTGAGCTTGCTGAGGTCTCTGTTCGTCCAGAGTCTCAGCAGGAGCCTGGAGAATTAGAGGAAGCTGAACACCAACAGCTGGGAGGAGACTAGGCCCAGTGTATTCGTCATCTTTTGCCGTTAGACCAGTTGTGCCAAGACTTAGTAGCTACAAACAAGCATTTATTATCTCATTGTTTCTGTTAGTCAGAAATCTGAACAAGGGTACCCGCATAATGAATATTTGTATACCTAACCCTGAATTGTGCCCCACATCTTTAAAATAAAAAAATTGAAAGTTAAAATAAATTAAAAGAAAAAGAAAGCTGGGCATGGCTTAGCTGTATTCTTCTGGCTCAGGTTTGTCACAAGGCCACAGTCAAGCTGATGGTCAGGGCTGCAGACATATCTAGGCTTGAGTTGGTGAGAGTCTGCTTGCAGAATTACTCGTATGACTTCAGCAGACCTCAGAAGATCTGCTTCCCAGCTCATTCACATGGGCCTCTCCAAAGGGCTGATACATGGCAGCTGGCTTCCCCTATCATGAGAGAATCCAAAAGAGAGCAAAAGAGAACACCTATGACAGAAACCACAATCTTCTTATAACCTCATCTTGGAAGTGACAGCCCATTACTTCTGCCGTCTTCTTCTTGTTCGAATGGAGCGAATAATTCCAGTCCACACTCAAGTGAAGGGATGATGTGGGTCCAGGGATCACTGGGGGACACTCACATTACCCAGGAGCCCTCTGGTCAAGAGCTACCTTTGGCTCCCCAGAGCCTGTATACCTGGTTGGGAAAGTTGGACATTTAAAACAAAGAAAAGAAAAGGTAGACATTTTTCGTAGAATAGAAACGAACAGAAGGGGGTCTCATTGTGAAATTCCAGTGAGAGATGATGTCTGTGTTTCTTCAAAAATGTTGCAACGTGACGTAATTTTGCAGATATTGTTGATTACTAATAGATGGATAAAAAGACATTCTGTGTAACACTGTGCAGTAAGTCATCACTTAACTTTCTCATCACTCAGTTTCTCTTAGAAACTGCTACTTTAAGCCAAATGATGTATAGCAAAACCAGTTTTTTTCCTTACCAATGTTATGATGAAAACACATGGAATGAAATGATGTTATTCAAGGACCTGATGTGGGTCATTTCACTTAAAGTGGCAATGTCAGGGACAGGATCAGCAGTTGAGAGAAACTGCCAGAGGAGGGAGGGGCACACCTCATCCACAAGGGTGCCTGCATAATGAACATTTGTATACCTAACCCTGAATTGTACCCCACATCCTTAAAATTTTTTAAAAAGTGGCAACTTCTAAGAACCTATTAATGATAAGTGAGAACTTACTGTACTTGGTTTACATAAGGGCTGAAAGCATTATTTGGTTGGATATTGCATGCATGTTTTAAAAAGGTTTCAGTTTGTGTTGAAGACTCAGAGTTGGTTGGCTCCTGAACTGACACCTTACAACTCAGCTAGCCATCTCAGGAGAAAGCCTTCCATTTGACTGCCCTCTTGAGGTTCCCTTCCTTCCTCATCTAATTACAGGGTTGGACCTCAGAGCCATTTAGTGGCCACTGTTGCTGAGCCTTGTCAACCCAGACTAGTGACCTCCCAGAAGATAGCTTAGCAATTAATGACTCAGAACTCTGAACACAGAAATCTAACTCTTGGCCGGGCTCGGTGGCTCAGCCTGTAATCCCGCGCTTTGGGAAGCCGAGGTGAGTGGATTGCCTGAGCCCACGGGTTTGAGACCCGCCTGGGCAACTTGGCGAGACCTCATCTCTACAATAAATAAAAAAATTAGCCAGGTGTGGTAGCACGTGCCTGTAGTTCCAGCTACTTGGAAGGCTGAGGCAGAAGGATCGCCGGAGCCCAGCAACTCGAGGCTGCGGTGGCTGGGAGCGGCCACTGTACCCCAGTCTGGGCGACAGAGTGAGACTCCAACTCAAAAAAAAAAAAGAAATATGACTCTTTGTAAAACAACTTTATTATGAGCTATATATTTTTGTTGTTGGAATGAGTTATCATTTATAATTGATTACTGTTTTGACTCCGTGTTATACACCAGGCACTGTGCTATGCATTTTATGCATATGATTTCTCATTTTTGTAAAGAAAGTTTTAGTAAGCCCATAAAACAAAAACTGAGCCTACAAAAGACAGTGAGATTTGCTGGGTCACACGTTTAGAAAGTGGTATAGCATTGTTTAAATCCACAACTTCAGCCGGGTTTGGTGGCTCAGCCTGTAATCCCGCGCCTTTGGGAGGCTGAGATGAGTGGATTGCCTGAGCCTGCGGGTTCGAGACCCACCTGGGCAACTTGGCGAGACCTCATCTCTACAATAAATTGAAAAATTAGCTGGGCGTGGTAGCGCGCGACTGTAGTTCCAGCTACTTGGAAGGCTGAGGCGGAAGGATCGCCGGAGCCCAGCAGGTCGAGGCTGCGATGGCCAGGAGCGGCCACTGTACTCCAGTCTGGGCGATGGAGTGAGACTCCAACTCAAAAAAAAAATCCACAACTTCATTTTTCCAAAGCCACCGTGCAGATGTTTTATTTTTAAGGTTATATCTTCTTTTTTTAATTGCCATGTTTTCCTGTAAACTCTGGAAAGACTGCAAAAATCATCTTATCCATTCACTTGCTGATATCTTCAAATCTCATTCCTTGATTCTTTCTGATTTGTGCTCAGGATTTTATTTTACCTTCATACTTACCAGGTGGCACCTTTTCAACATAGACATCAGACAATAGAGGATTTGACCCCACATGTTTACACAAGCACAGAAAACTGGATCCAGTCAATGTTTTAACCTGTCAAATAGGGAAAAAAACCTACTATATGGCAGGTTTGTCTGTGATCAGCTTCTTTTTTTTTTTTTAACTCAGTGCAGATAATTTGAAGTCTCACTGTCAGTGCTTACTTGGGGAAGGCCCTTAAGGGGGTCTTGCTCAGTCTGGAGTGCTGGTTGAAATGTTATACTGGATCGGGCTCGGTGGCTCAGCCTGTAATCCCAGCACTTCAGGAGGCC